AATTTCAAATGCTCTGGTATATAGCCTTGGAAATGTGTTCACCAGATGATGGAAATTGAGACTTTTTCATGCCTACGAAGTCCAGAAAGTTTACCAGCTAATCATAGTCCCTCATTAGAATCTCGCTGCCATACCAACATGATTGTCGATCTTCAGTCACAAAGTCCATGTAATGTGCCGTCCGATCCTTCAGTGCATTCATCTCCTCATGATTACAAATCCTTGCCTAGGGAGAGTGGCAAATCGCCCTCCCCCCATGAATACAAACTTCTGCTGCCGGAAGGGGCAATCACTCCCAGTCCAGAAAACCCACCCACAATTGATTATTCAGACATACCAAAGGAGAGCTCGTACACTGGACAATCAAGCCCCCACTCCAGCCCACCCAACCTGAGCCCAGAAACCATGGGAAGTGAAACTCCAGAGCGAGAATGCAGTCCAGGGGCCTCTCCAAGTCAGTCTCCTGATAAGCACCGATCTAGACGCAAGCCGACACTGGAGGACATAGTTAGGCGCATTGGACATGTGGAAAACAGTGAGGAGAGTGACTTGGAGGGAGAGGATGAGCCTAGGACTGGTCTGATGATAGACATGAGGAGTGCTGAGGAGAGGGAAGAAATGCTGAGGGAGTATGGGGAGGATGAAGTGGATGGGGCTCCTCCAAGAGAATCAGTCATAGCTAGCATGAGGGAGCAGGGGCTTTCCAATGGACTAGAATTGTCCACTAAAAGTGAAATCCCAAATAAGATGATATCAACGGAGGAAGAATCCATGCTCTCAGAAAGCAGTGAGAGAGAAGTGTCTAAATCTACAGAGTTGCCAAAGGAGAAGTCCAGCGAATATTTAAAGCTCGAAGAGGATCGTGCTGCACAACTTGCACAAATGTCTGCTCTAGCTGACAGCTTAACCAAGCCCTCAGAGCTCACTGGAACACCCAAAATGAATGGAGGATGGTTTCCTGGACCATTTGCAAGTCTTCCTATTTTTCCATTCCAACAATCACCTATGGAACATCATTTGGCTCCCAGCCTGTTTCCTTTTATGGATGGGAAGTTCCCGTCACCTCAAGAAGTGGAGAAGGATTACTTGAAGTGTCAGTTCTGTGAGAGAACATTTCGCCGACAAAAGAATCTGGAAAACCACATAGAGAATACACACCAAGGAAAGACGCCAACACGACGCAAAACAGAAAATGGCAGCAGTGATATGTACTTCAAGTGCACCCACTGTCCCTATACCACCAAACACCAAAGCAATCTCTATGTTCATCTCAGGATACACACCGGTATGTTTGTTTGCTTTTTTTATTCATTTGTATATATGAAAATTATTACATAGCAAATGTACTTATTCTGTTTCACAAGGTGAATTTTAATTTATTTGAGTAATTTGTTTTAATAATCGTTTTTTTTTACTAATATATATTATGGAGTATGTTTGTTTATTTTTCTTTTTTTCACTTGCGAATTAAAAAGCATAAATGGAAAAGGAGGAGATAACGAACAAAGATCTATCTTTAAAAAAAAACTACAAACACAAATCGCAGGGCATAAGATACGGACTAGCAGAAATTTCAGGGGTATGATATGTTAAATGTATGTAAGTTCAAGAACAAATTGGTCTACAGAATTTTGAATTTTTAAAAGGACAAAAAAATATTTTGATTGAATGATTTTCGGTTCTCAAGGAATGTTCACAAAATGTAGTCGTTGTTACCGTTTACTAATAAATAGTAAACAGTTGCAAAGATGGAGGGAAATCTAAACTGGAATAAGATATTTGGGTTTTTACATAAAATATTTTTGTGGTAGGATTTTAGGAAAAACACCTTCAACCAGTTGCAATAAAAAATCCTTTTTATGTAATTTTGATAAGAATGAAAAGGATACTTCCAATTTTGCATATAACCTCCTATTGTGTTATGGTAAATTACATTTTTAGTTCCTGTCAATTGTTCCTTTGCATTATTTGATATGTTGTCTTCTTTTGCCCTTTAAACAATCATTTTATGATTGTGATATAATGTGAGATTTTATGATGGTGTAATGGAACTTACGTAAGTCTACAAATAGCCGTGCAAGGCTATACCTGTAGGCTTCTTTCTTCCTTAAAAGAGGGAAGCACATGCCATTGGAGTAAATTTTCTGAAGTTTTAGGATTAAGAAAATTTCTATATATAAAATTTATATCTTTGACAAGACAGAGATTACTTTCAGTTTAAGGAAGTTTTTATCTTTGAATTGCGGGTAACTCTTAAGATTTCTGATCAAACATAAAATTGCACCATTTCATGAAACCTTTTATCTATGAAAAGAAGCTTTTAAATATTCATTCTACTCAACCTTGAAACTCTAGAAGCTGAATAATTTTAGTTTTTTTACGTACTTTTGAAAACATTTTTTTTTGTTAAATATATCTTTGTGAAAAAAAATGTCAGCTAACTATCAGTTAGTAGCATGCATCGTTAGGTACTAAATCATGTCACTATTGCAGACATGAAGATCACTCTTCCCCTAATCCCCCCTTTCTTGGTATTTTTTTTTTCTTTGGTATGAATACTAAGATCAGTCTCAAAGTCTAACTTTAAACATGATAACCTTGCAAGTAAGATGAGATATCTGATGTTTTCTTTGAATTTTAGGAGAAAGACCCTACATTTGTGGTGCCTGTGGAGTACAGTACAGCCAAAGTCATAGTCTGAAAAGCCACATCATCAACAAACATGATGGCATCATGTCATATTACATAAAGGAGAAAAGAAACCGTTCTCCACGAGGAATGGGCTACCTCCAGCACGTGGTTCCTGATGTTTTTAACTCCTCTAGTGCACCTACCATGGTCCCACCCCCCAGTCTCAGTCAGAGTCAGGGTCCCCTCCCACCGAGTTCCACACCCCTGCAGATCCACCCCTCTCTTCTGATGCCTCAGAATCCAATGCTTCCCCCACAGCCCATGCTGTCTCCAAAGGGTATGCCCCAACTGTCTCCACAGATAAACAAGTCACCTCATCTATCACCAATGTCCAAACAACAGCAGCAGCATCCATTCCACATGTCCCCACAGACCCCTCATCGCCCGCATTTCCAGCCACCCTTGAAATCTAGTCCCAATCACTTCATTAATGGTCACACATCCCCCATCTTCAATCACAACAATAATATTCTAAACAAGCCTCAGATGTTTGAACAAAGCCAACCCTTACCTTTGGTCAAGAACCAGCCAACTCCACTGAAGGAAATTAGTAACAACTGTGGAAATACCCAGAGAGATGGGGAAAATGGTGCTATAGATTTGAGCAAAAAGCCAAGCAACACTAAGGATCCAATGACTAAGAATGAGGCTGATCAATTGCTAAAGGTCATGGTTAATGGTGGTTCTTGTGAAAATTGCAACCATGAAACCAAACTGAGGTTGTTGCGCCAGAATGTGGTCCGGATGCTGAATATATTGGTCCCCAACCTTAATTTTGAGGAGAAGGGAATTAGTGCAGAAGGGGATTCTGTTGATGAACTGTTACATGATGTCATTGAAAGCAATATGCAAGACGATGAAATGGTCGAGTAATTCCTCCTTTGATTCTGTTCCATAAAATGGCATATGTTTCTAGTGAGCTCTTATGAGGCATTTAAATAGTTACAAATAATAAGGAAGATCTGTCTCAGAAGATTCCAAAGCATTACTTATCACAGTGACAGTCATTTTCTTCTCTCAAGTGCTGTGTGCAATACCACAATCTTTTTCCATGTCATCTTAGAAACATATCATGAGGGACCCAACTTCTCTCAAAAACCAATTAAACATGAGCAGGCAGCGACTGCTTGGCAGAAACTCTCATCAATGTTGTCTTCATCCCATCGTTTGGTCCAAGACCACTCTCTCCATCTCACCATTCATAAAACAAACTGTGCATTTTTACTAGTGAGGTTTCCTCCCAAGAGACAAAGTTTTATATTTATACAAGGAGGCAAAAAGGTCCATAGAACCAAAGAGGATTATTTTAACTTTTATTATATATATATATCAATATTGTGTTGTGCAGATGTGTCATATTATTAAGAAAAAAAAGTTTCTTTAGAAACTTGCAATTTGCCATTTAACACTGTTTAGATGTTGCATCTTAAAATTTTTGGGGGAACATCCACACAGTGATTCTATCCATATCTTATTTGCTTTATTTATTAATGATATTTACTAATTTTTGCCATATTATTATTTTTTTCTTATTGCCCTCAAAGATCCAAGAACATTTTACATTACATTATGTGTTCAGAATCAACAAATTGCACTTATACGAGGGGCATTTTAAAAGTTCTGGCAACTGTTTAATAAAAGATTAACCGTTTTACGGAAATTATTGAGTTTGATATCATTGGAAAGATAAAAAAAAATATACACATATTGTGATGTCACTTCATAATTTTCATGACGTAATAACTCCGAAAATGACGTCAGAATATAGAATATTTAGCATACTGACCATAAAAATGATAACAAAAGACACAATTTGATAAAATTAAAATTTTCAAGACAACTTTTCCTCATTACTCGGACGCAAGTTAACGGACGCAAATGCCATTTGGTGGAATGTTTACATAGACTACAATCTATCATATGGTATTTTATTTTGGAGATCTTCTTGTTCTGAAATGTTTTTAGCGAGTATCAAAATTAGCTTGGGTTTATCGAATCTCGCTCAAACTTTTGTGTAAAAGAGACCTAAATGTGAGAAAAAGACAAAATTGACAATCAAAGAAAAATAGGCGATCGTGTTACAAAATTCAATGGCATTAATTCGTCAGGTGTTTTAACCAGAATCGTGGGATCGATGAAGGCTCAAGAGAAGTTAAGTTTAGTGTGCCTCATATTTTCTCGTAAAATCCAAAATGGCGGCGACGCAGTTGTAACCCCACCGTACCTCCACATATTCGCAAAATTTAATGCATGGAAAATAAATAAGATTTTACATATCTGAGTAACTTATATTCATGTTTAGGATTCAAAAGTCAAAAGCAGAAGTGAGTTTTTGGGGCGCCGAAGTTGAATTTATATGAAAAAATACGCAAAAAATCAAGTCGGGGACAAGATTTAGTACATTTTATTCGTAAACGGTAAGAGCCCTGTTACTCAAAATATATTTAATAAAAACTGCATTAATATACTTCAGTTTAATAAGAACATGTTTTATTTCGAACAATGGAAAGCTATATAAAAGACCGATAAGCCAGCCGTATCATGTAAACAATAAACCTAAATGAATGTCTCTGATAGCATAACCGGACAAAAACTGTGCTCGTAAACAAATTATACAATGAATAATGGAATTGTTTATAAACAGTATTATAGCCCTTCTCTATCTCTTTTCAAATTCAAATTTTCTATGAAATATTTTTTGAAATAAGCCTTTGACAGAACTTTTACGATCGTCTCATGTGGATAAAAACGCGACTTTTCAGTATGCTAAACATTCTAAATTCTGACGTCATTTTCGGAGTTATTACGTCATAAAAATTATAAAGTGATGTCACAATATGTGTATATTTTTCTGATCTTCCCAATGATATTAAACACAATAATTTCCGTAAAACGGTTAATCTTTTATTAAACAGTTGCCAGAACTTTTGAAATGCCCCTCGTATGTTCCCCTGAAATTCCAAATGTATATTTACTGGTTGTGAAGTTTAATTATTCCAATCTATTTATGATTTTATTTCGTCCAGTATGCTGTTATTTGATTTTACAAGATGTATACAACAAATGGCTTTTTTATTTGATGATTTGTTTACAAATGATTACTATGATCTCTATGTATGAAGGAGAGGGGACCTATTTATGATGATTGTTTTTCTTAAACTCAATTTTGTGTTGTACTCATTGATTTGTATATTTTGAAACAAAAAACTTGGAATATTTTATGATGTGTTCTTGAGTCTCTAAGTTTTTGACTAAATGGAAGTTTTACTGTGCTTTCAAAAGAATTTTTAAAATTTTTGTTTTAGAAAATTTGTTCAGCAGACACATTCTTTGGAAGAAAAATAGATAAAAACACATTCTTCAAGGCAAATTGCCTTGTCTTTACTCGTCCAAAAAAAAAACCAGGTTGAATTCTTTCTCTATCTGCCGTTTCAACTTCTTACTGTACAAGCTTAATTTGTCATCTGATATTTTTAAACATGTAACATGTCATTCAAATATGTAAATGGGTCTTGTGAAAGGTCAATGTATTTTATGTTTCAATGTCCATTGTCTTTAGAAAAAGCAGTTCATGTCTTTCTTGTAAGATGAGTCACAATTTCTTCCATTATTATTATTTTATTTGTTTTAAAGTCATATCCCAAACACAGATGATAGCCTTGAAAATTCACACTTTTTTACAAAAACTCTTCATAAGGTCAAATAAATTTCATAGCCAAATTATTACACAAAAAAATGCTTACTGACAAGATTTATCAAGTCTTTTAAAAGAAATGTTTTGTTGATTGTATAATATCCAGAAAAGTTTTTTTTTTCAGTTTTGGAACATTTTAGTAAAAATTACCCCCACATTTGATGAATAATATCAGACGATGCAGTGATGACGTTTTAGAATATTGACTGAGAAGTGATTCACATAAATGTTTTAGTATCTCCATCTTACTCATGCACTAGCTGACATATGAACTGTTAAAGCAATAAGTAATCTATTGATCTTCACAGCAATACCTTTTCAGTGGGCAATAAACTTGACCAACCTTTATGTAGTAATAAATTAAAATTGTTAATTTTTGTAACCTCTGTGAAAAGTCAGTTGAGGTGTAGTATATACAGTGTCTTCCATATTTTGTTTCAGATTTTTCTGTGTACATGTATTTTCCTATTTTTCTTCATTCTGAAATTTACTTTTTTAAGGAAAAATCTATATATTTTTTTTCTTGAGCTTCCCATTTCATGTCCATAAAAGTGAAAAATAATTATGCTGAAGTTGAAGTGATAATCCATAAAAAAGATATTTGTATGACCGTTTTCTGCATAGAGAGTATCTTCCAATTAATGTTGTAGTTCATTGCATAATTCAAAAACTCGAACCTACTCCTAGACTCAAGTATATATCAACTTATTATTCCAGAGTTTGACATAAATTGCTATTCATTGGTTATTTTTCAATCTGACTTTCCTCTAAAATGGAATATAAATGATTTGTGTGAGCTGGGTTGTTATTATTACATAATTAGATAGATATGGTTTATTTCAATTGAATTTCAAATTAACGGAAAAACTCCATTAAACAGAGACAGAATTCCATCTTGATTTCCAAATTTTGCATTATTTACAGTTTTATGTCAGTTTCTTTCTTACAATTTATGACCATTTGTAGAATTGGGGTTTGATTCCTCATCTTTTTATTATGACAATAGAAAATTTAACTGCCAAGATCGCTACTTTACTAAGAGTTTTAAATGATTTCCTTTGTAAAATTATACTATTCAAAAATGAATAATGGCAGAATATTTGATGCATTCTGACATATTGGCAAATCTCTGTTGAAGTAAATAGAAGCATTGTTTTGTATATTTCAGTAATTGGTGTTTTTAGCATTAAGTTATTGAAATCCAGCTCAGTGAGAGTCATAAATTCCAAAATTCTTTGGCTTGTAAAATGCCATGACAACTTCATGATTACAAAACATGCACTTGGACTGATTTCTAAGTCTGTTGATGGAATGAGGAAGTTAGATTGACAAATGATAACTGGATGCAAGTTTGGATTAGTTTTATGCTGATTGTACATATCCTTTGTAGTGACTTAACTAGTTCTTACACTCTCTAATTGTAGCAGAGACTATAGTGCTGTATTTGGTGCGCTCCTTGTTTCATTGTTGTGTTGTGTCATTTTTATGTGATGATTGATTGAGCAGTGTCAAAAAATTGTACATTTTACTTAAATTGTTGATATAAGTTTTTATGTATATGAAATGTTTTTAGAAATCAAAGTACATAGTATGCTGAATGTATGTAGATTTGTCATGAGATGAGAGTGTTAATACATTCCATTTACCCATGTTTCTATGCTACAAAAAGAAAATCTATGCTTATGGAAAAAATCAATTCTGATCTATCTTTTTTTCCCCAAACTGTGCTGTTTTACACATAGATACTTTTTAGTCCTTGAACTATACACTTTGCTATGGTCCACAGTATATAAGTTTAAATCTTTATAAATGATATTTTTTTGCAAATTATCTTGCAGCAGTAATCTTTTAATTAAGATGAGGCAGCAGAGGAAGGGCGGACTAGGTGCTTTTTGTCCTTTTATCATCAAATTCGAAAGGTGCTATCTTTCTGTCTTTGTAAGCTCCAGATTAGCTGATGTACTTACAAAAAGCATTTCTTCTTGATATTTATTATTCAAAACAGTTGAGAATGGTCCACCAGCTAATTGTATCATGAGTGGATGTTTTTAAAATTCCATTCATTCTATTGCTCTGTTTTTCATGCTCATTTAGTTAAGTGGAGATACTAAGTACTGACATATAAGCTGATTTAATTGTTTAACATTCCTTATCCTTATGGGAACCAAATTTGTTAGGTTGTGAGGGACACTTGTGATCTCTGGCAAACTCTTGTAACTCGCTTATGATATTGAAAACTGCAATCTTGGTCCAAATGGTAAGTGCTTTATCTCAAAGGCTAGCTGCTAGATGCTAAGCACAAAAAGTGCTATCTGGAATTCAAAGAAACTGCTTATATGTCCAGAAAGCCAAATTAGAAAACTTGACCACTTGAATTTTGGATGTTATTTACATTGTACTTTTAGCTGCTGTTGAACCATTTTGTGATTTGTGACTGCTGACATGTCAAATGTTTTCTTCATTTTCAATGGTTATCTCATCTTGTGTGCCATCTTGTCAATGTTCAAATTTTCTGCAATAATATCAGTTTTCCATATACCCATTCCATATGCTATATTTTAGTTAATGTGAAAATTTTCTTTATTATGAATGTGTTCATTGATGGTATTGTGTTCAAGAATTGTGTTTTATTTTATTTTTAGTAATCTCAGTTTCTGTTGTGTTCAGTATTTCATTCAGTATCAGAGCAAAGTTATTACAGAGAAGCATAGATATTGGGAAACATTCAGGTTTTAAAATTAAAAATCTAGTCCCATCAGCTGTATATCTTGATAGTAAAACACATAACATTTCAATTTACTATTTCCCCCAAGATTTTTGACATATTTTGCTTGCATTATTTTTATATGTTTACTTTTGGTTGTGCTTGTATACATGTATATATTGAGTTTGCCTCTCTC